CTAAACAATTATCTTTATATATCTACGATCTTTAATTTTTTACCAGATTTAAACATGTAAATCATTTTTAACATTTTATTTAAGTTACAGATAACAACATAGGTATAGAATATTTTTGTACAAGCAGATAAACGGAAGTTATATATAAATATTGACTCTTACAGTTTCAGTCTTATTTTTAGCAATAGTTTTACAAAAATGTTCGTAATCTCTTAAAGACAGTCGATAAATATGTTCATGATAAAAAATATCGAAAAGATACAAACATTCTTGATTTCGAGACTTTAACAAATGTTCTGAATTATTTTAAATTATAGTAAAGGTTAAACAAATGTCCTTGCAAGATACAGCTTACGATATGACGTCAATGATTAAGCTGGCTATCTTGAAAATTGCCAACTGTCACTGATCTTATCTTAAGTTCATTTTAAATTACTTATTGGCATTACAAAATCATTGGTATGGTGTAATTTAAAAAACTATCTACAATGCCAAAATAAGTGACTCCTACAGGATATGTACTACTAAGCGAATAGGGGGATCTATAATTTCTATTGTTTCGGATATTCATATAGACGATAATCAGATATCAATGAGTTGAAAGATTCTATATATTTTCCTATTACTGTATGATCGAATTGATTATGAGGTACAGTTACACGGTTTTTATGCGGCTTTGCAGCGCGTATGAAAGTCTATTCAGTGACTAGACATTAATATATCATTTTCTAAACAAGTATAGTAGAGCAGTAGAGTGAACGATACTAAAACAGTTTAAAATGATTTTGAGGTTAAATTTGGTTATTTTAGAATGTCATTTTCTAAAAAACACAATCTTAAATACTAAATACAGGCAAGATAAATTTATTAGATATGGTTATAACAAAGGATATTGTTCGAAATTAAATTAATAAGTTGAGAATGACAATTTCGGGCAAAAATCTAGAATTTTTGGGAACGCCGATTATCTGTAAAATTTGTGAAAGAGCAACTTGTCGGTACCATATATTTACGACGTCATTGAATCTACGGCGTGCAAGGAGAATTGTTTTAGTAGTCTGTAGTAAGTATAAAAATTAGACCTGTAATAGGCTTTATATATGATTCGATACCTCTAACAAATAATTAGAAGAATAAAATAGTATAATTAATATTAAAAATATACAATTTTACAGTAGGTACACTACGACTGATATAGGAGTAGACGTCGCGCGCTAGCAGATTTCAAATATTGTACCGAGAGCTCAGTTGATCGAGAACCGCTTAGCTGTATACAACTGTATACACTTGTATACAGCTTGTATACAGCTAAGCGGTTCTCGATCAACTGAGCTCTCGGTACAATATTTGAAATCTGCTAGCGCGCGACGTCTACTCCTATATCAGTCGTAGTGTATGTGTAAATACTATATTAATATTTAAGTCGCTAAAGATATCTTGACAAGGTTCTTAATATTTCTGAGCATATGTAATGCAAATTTTAGAAAGTATTTTTCTTTTTCGATTGTATTTTGGTCAGGTGACCTTTTCTGTATTACCAATTATAAATATCCATATGGAAGTACTATAGACTCCGAGCAATCTGAAAATACTGAACCCTTTCACTAATTCATAATCTAGTCTTCATAGTTTTTTAGCACCAGAAAATTAACAGCAATTCTACCTTACCATGTCCAATTTATTCCAACAGATCAGCCAAAAATTCCGATAGAATATCAATTGAAACTCCCATCTTACAGAGTCAGCAAAGCCAAAATTACAAAACAATATATTATTTATAAAAATGAACACCAGGCCAAATGTTCAAAGAAGATACTCATTGTCTGATGGAAACCAGACTACCAATTTCAACTGTACGTTAAGCAAGGACTTCCCAAAGATCCAGTGACTAACATAGGTCATATTAGAATATTCCAGACACACTTAGGTCAGAAATGAGTGTTGCAGATATGAAATAGGCGATTTTCCTACGCCAAATATTTCCTGACATTTACTTGTCTTGTAGAGCTTATTTTTTAAATTTATCTATCCATCGGTATCATTTTCATTTATTTTCCTACATTTTCTCTCTTAGTGGCTCCAGGTATTCATTGATCCTATTTTTTTTTCTAAAATGGTCTGTCTGTTGGTATCTTTTTCATTTGTTTTCCCATATTTTCTGTTCCTTGGCCATTCTAGACATTCCTTAGTCTTATCTTTTCCTTCTTCACCTCACTTCCAACGTTTCTAGTATCCTGTTTTTATATCGCCTCTGAGTGCATTCGTATTTTTTCTGGAGTATTACTATTTTTTGCCAATTTTAGTTTGCTTCTGATGTATTTTTATTTATATCTAGAGAATCTGTTCCAAAACCTTAATTAACAAATATGATAGAATAACTCCAGATGTGGTTAAAAGAAGATATTTATTCTCTGAATCAAATAAGACTAACAAATTCAATAGTAATTTCAGAAATAGCTTCCTACAAGAGCCAAAGGCCAATTTAGGTCACAAATAAGTATTCCAGACAAGAAATGAAGTCGTTTTCCTTCTTTCCCTCGTCTTTTCCACAGATAGGATTTGCAACTCCATCTCTCGCCAGATTTTTTTTTCTAAAATTGTCCATTAGTATCTTTTTCATCAGTTCATCTATTTTTCTTTCATTTTTATCTGGTGCTTTAACCTTTATTGTTCCAGGTTTTCCTGGATCCTGCGCTCTTTTATGGTTTCCCTTTTTATATTCACTCTAGATGATTTTTACCCAATTTTTGATTATTTTAGTTTAATTTGTTTCTTTGATAATTTCACCTTCAATCCAGTCCCGTCTTGTGTTGTGATGTTTCTGCAACTTTATCACGAGAAGTTTTTAAAACATTTTTTTCTGCGTGCCAGATTTTGCTTTTTATGACTTCCATCTGTTCCAGAAACGTAAAAAATATGACTAGAAGGCATTAGACCCGTTCAAAGAAGAACTAGAGTCTATCAAACATAAAATAGACAATTCCCGAACTTTCTTTTACATTTCCAGGCGTGGTATTTATCATTGTGTCTTCTAGAACAATTTGCTTTTAATTTCCTGTCCTTTTGGTAGTTATCCTTCCGTTGTTCTCTACTGTTTTATTTTCAGTTTCATTTTTAGTCTAATTCTTTGGTTTTACACAATAAATCCCCTTGGGATTTATTTGTGTATTTCAATTTTTTTTGACATGCTGTTTAGTTTTTTCTCGATAATTTTAATTTGCTTGTGATGTTTTTTTATATAGTTATTGGACGATTCTCATTGTCCCCAAGATTTGGCCTTGTTGACTTAAATCTGTCCCAAAGACAAAGAGAATGATAATAAAATTATGATTATTTTTTCGCTGATACTTCCGAGTATTTTTCACGTTACCCTCATATGTGAATTTAAGAAACCTGTCAAAAACTACTTTACATAAATACTTTTCTAATATGACAGTTAACAAAGAAAAAGTTCGTCTCATACAAAATTTTTGTATTAATAACATCAACAACATTAAAAAACGAATCCTAAAAACCTTAAGTATTTTAATTTCATATTGAATTCAATATAAAGTATTAAAAACGACTTTTAGAAGAAAAACATTAAATACTCACAACTAATTTACTAATGCAAAACTAGTTTGACTCTGTCTTATTTTGTTTCTGACCATGTCTGATTTTAAAGTTTCGTTAGAAGATTGACGTCACCAAATGAGTCAGGTCCATGAAATTTTCTAAGACCAACGCGTTAGTCCCAAAGGAATTATCATTGATTATTTCAAACAAGATATTTATATGTCCGTTGTTAACCACGTTTCTACGTCATTACAGTACAACAGCATTTGATTTTGCTTAGATGCTCCATGAACGTCTCAACAGTTGTTGCAAGGACCTTGGGCCTCAGTTTATTAATTCTGTACTATTCAGATAATTCGACAACACTGTACGGCAGTAACGACGCCAAAATTGGATGATATGCAATGGATTTTTGAGAAAATGGCCAATAACTATAGGTCTATAATTTTTATACACGTTCTGGTGTACACCAGGGAGTCGTTTTGACACAAACTCGATAAGTAATTTATATTTTTATCTTACTTATAACGTGCCAGCAATAATGTGCTGATTACAATGTAAAAAATTTAAGCTCTTTACTATGTAAGCTTTGGAAGCTTAAAGTACGGGAGCGAGCCCCTAATAATCACACTCTGACGACGCAAGCCTCGCTCACAAACGCATTTCACGTCGGCGCTAAGTCAGGTCCAAGTCAGCAGGGAGTTAACGTTTTATGGGCGTGACTTGTGACGTCAGATTGGGTATCGAGTGATCGAGTATCCCGAACGATCCATCCTCTGCTCAGAGACCGATGAAAAACTAGAATATAACTATGATTAATAATGAATAAATTGTACAGACTTAATTGAACAAACATCCCAACTTTGAGTAGAAAATGAATCAGTAACTTACTAAAAACTGTATCAAAATTACCCGCAAACCTATTTAAATGCTCAGAACTGTGTTGGAACTTTGTAAAAAGGGGCCCATACAGTAATTATCTGTGGAACACTATTCCACCTACTAGAAGACCATAAGAAGAATTACAATACGAGGGATTTTCAGAAACTATGAAAATAATTGTACAACTGCGGAAGACACATGACTTACATAATGTAAAATAAAGTTAACACGTGTAAAAAAACAGCCAAAGCATCATCTCCTACCTTGGTACGTTATCGTGGGAGCTTAATGCAACTAGAAGTCACTGAGAGTTTATTATACTGTCTCATCCGGCCACGCTTGATCGCGTGATTAGATTCTTCACTTTTGCAACGAATCCGAATGACATGAAGTTGATTAGGTTATTTCAGAATGTCCAAACCGACACTTTCGACAAAGAAATTAGTGATACATATCGGTTGTCATTTCAGAATAGCTTGAGAGGAAGTTGAAAAATCTTAGTACGTCTCTGGACACTTTCCAAAACGTTCCACTAAGAAACAAACCCCAAAACAAACAACACAAAAAATAAAACAAGGTATATTAAAATTAAATAAATAATTACAATAATAGATATCAATACTTGGCATTAATTTATGAATAAAATTCTGTTATTTAGGCTTACGAAAATAGACCGATGTTTTCCTTGTCCACCGTCATTTACAATTATTTATCACACTTAAGTTAAGACACAGTTATTTACACTATGCAAGTCATCACTGTTTTCTTGACAGCGTCTCTGGCGTATGGGATGTACGACAACGAGTACCAAGTCATCGCTAGCGATTGTATGATAATGAACAAGAGTGCTAGCACTGCATTTTTCAGCTAAAAAAATAGAAAGTTATGTTAAAACATATAAACTACTACATGCACTATTACATTGTCATGTTAGTATTCTTAATATAGAGCCATCGAAAAAAAAAACGTAACTAGAGTAGTCTGTGCAATAAAAATAACGCACGTCGGGATTTTAGCCACTTACACAGACTTACTAACATAACAACATAGACTGAGAACAGCAATATAGACCCTTTCCCTCTGTGCGAGAGAGAAAAATAATGCAAAGCAGTCTCTGCATCTCTTTCTAATGGACGGAGTTTATCGACGACGTAACCTTCCCACTACCAAACACAAGTACGATAGCAACTTAAATATAACTTACATGTTGAATGTAACAAGTCGAGTGGTAGCTACGGGGTATTGTTTCTGCTTTTGGACCTGGATAATTGAGGTTTGAATCTTCCACGGATTTTTCTATATTACGTTTATTAAGGGGGGGGGCTGAGTTTTAATCTTGTTTAGGCTTGCGCCTCTTCAAGGAATGGGGTACTTTTTTTGGAGTAGTGGTAAACGTGATGATTACTGTGTTGGGAAAACTTTGCCAAGCATGTCAGATCAGGTACAGGGGTCACCAGCCATACTGTAGGAACGGCTCTTTATTAGCGTTTTTGGCGTGCAGTGGTTAACTGCGATATTTAATTGGGAATGATTCTAAAATGTCATATTATACTCATCAGGGAGTTCATGTTCAGTGTTATGAAAAAGTTTTTCTGGAGGAAACGAACTTTTCTTTTGGGAAGCCTGGTGAGTATTTACCCTCGGCGATTGCAGGGAGTCTTTATTTGTTTAGCTCTGTTGTTCGTACCTGCAATGGTTCTTAGGACATACTTCCTGCTGAGGGATAGGATTCTGTCCTTAATTGGTGTAATATTAGCCAATATATAAATGCGTGCTAATAGATATAGCATGTCCCTCCTCATGCAATATCTAAGGATTCTTCTTTCAGTTGCCATTATGGCATTAGTTTGGTAGGTGTTCAGAGAAACATAGACGCATGCCTTGTATTCGATGATGGGTCTGACGAATGTTTTGTAGGTGTGCAGTAAAGTTTTGGAAGATGTCTTGCCCAGTTTACCGGACAACACTTTCAGGAGGTTAACCTCTTTCTTTCCCTATCTAGGGTATCTTGAACGTCGGTTTTTCAGTTGAGAGTCCTAGTAAAGTGAACCCCCAAGTAGAAAACCGAGTTTCTGAGAATAAGGTTCTCTCCTAAAAATGTTATTCGGCCACACGACATCACGACAATTTGAAGTTTTAAATAAAATTGCTTGTGTTCTGCAGGGATTTATGGTCACTCTCCATTTATTGCCCCACCTGATGATTCTATCGAGGTAGTTTTGTGATCTTTCGAATACAGACAGTTGCCCATGTTCTCTGTGAGATCCTGACGTGAGGAGGGCAGTATCATCAGCGAAAAGTAGGAGGGACTCCGATCCTTGCTGTGGGCGGGGATGTCACTAGTGTAGACTATGTATAATACTGGTGCAAGTATTGAGCCCTGTGGTACTACCAGCTTGAGGAGTAAAGGGGGGATAAGTGGTCAACTATTTTGATCCTGATCGTCCGATTAGAGAGATAGAAATTGATTAGTTTAACGAAAGGAGTGGGCAGTCCAGCAAGGTGGAGTTTTTCGATCAGGCCTGTGTGCCAGACCTTCTGGCCTGCAATGCCTTCTGAACGTCTAGAAATATCCTTATGACGTGTTTCCTTTCGTTAAGTGATTGTGATACGTTTATTAGATAATAAATAAATATATTTGTATTACAGAGCTGTAAATGTGAATAAAAAAATGAAGAAAGAATAAGAATGAGAAATAATAAGCTGGTATTGTTTAAAAATCAATAATTAAAATATTTTTTGTTTATAGCTTTGATTGTTTTATTGTTTTACTATTTACATACAAAACATGATTTGTTCTCACAATAAAATGTTTTTAATGTTATTAATGTCTAATTGTAATAAACCATTTTTACAAATATATACACAATTTATTATGTGCGAGTTTACGTACAGATTTAATAATATCGAATATACGTACTATTGATATTATTAAATTTATACATAAAAAAAGAGAAAGTGGAAGGTAGTGGAAAGATCATGTGGTCAATAAACTCCACCCATTAAAAAGAGATGCAGGGACTGCTTTGCATCATTTTATTCTGTCTGTCGCTCGGTCTAGGTATTATATGTCTATGTAACATACATACATCTACATAACCTAAATTATTATAATTATGATGACATCTATAATGTCACGTACTGACGTTTACGATTTGCGAAATGGTCAAAATGCCAATAGTCGTCATATATAAGTGTAAAATTCACAAACTATGTATTTACTTTTTTATCTCTATTACTATTACTACTACTATAATTCGATTGCTTCATATTAATATTAAGTAATTCAAGAATTATTCTAAAATCAATATTAAATTTCCATTTTATAATGTTTATAAAACAGGGTGAGAAGTGTAATTTTTAAGGAAGGGAGGACAAGCGGTGTATCATTTTATACGCAGTTTAATTTCCTCCCCAATTCTCACCGAAAATAATATTTTTTAATTATAGTGATTACAACTTGTCTGCACTAAGATTAATAATTGTAAAGTTATTCTACAAATAAAATATAATTTATAGGCATTTTTTATTTTTTCTACCTCCCGAACATTCCCTTGACACTTGGGATTTGCAATGACATGCAAAAATAGTAGAAAAAATGTGCTGAAACATAAAAGGGAGTCCTAATGCAATTGTAAGGAATGTGGCCCGTAAAACGAAGAGACAGGGATAAAATAAGCTTCTTCTTCTTCTTCTACTTTTTGTAGATCTTTCGATCTGTTTCATTCTGAAGCTGCCTCTGGTTAATTTCTTGGGAGGTAGATTGCCAACTATCCCTCCATCTTTTAGGTGGTCTTCCGGGGGGTCTTGAACCGGGCGGATTGTTTTCTAGGGCAATTTTTGGGAGTCTATTCTCATCCATTCGTCTTACATGATTGTACCACATCCTCTTGCGCTGCCTTCCCCATCTTACAATATCTTGAATTTTGCACTGCTCTCTAATGTTTGTATTTCTCGCTCTGTCTCTTCTTGTTTTCCCCATTATTGTTCTTAGGTTTTCATTTCGGCAACCTTTAGCATCTGTTTCGTTTTGTTAGTATCTTCGCGCACTTCTATGCCATATGTCATGATCGGTCGTATGCAGGTCTTATAGATTCTAATTTTACTATCTGTGCGCATATACGGATTTGACCAGACTATCTCCTGCAGACATCCTAACAGTGCAGATGCTTTGTTGATCTGACTCCTCAGGTCCTTTACTGGGTCGTGGGTGCTTGATATATCTATGCCCAGATATCTGAATTGCATCACCTGTTCTATGGGGTTGTCCTCAACCACTAACTTACATCTGAGCGGATCTTTTGCTATTGTCATACATTTAGTTTTGTTGGTAGATATGTTCATATTTAGTAGTCGGCTTGTTTGAAAGAACTGAAAGAACTGCCTTTGGAGATCATCTTCTGATTCGGCAATAATTGCTGCATCGTCTGCGTAACACACCATACCAATTCTTTTGTTGCCCATTCTATATCCGAGATTAAGAGATGTTACTTTGTTGATAATTTTGCCCATGAGAAGATTAAACAAGAAGGGGCTTAAACTGTCGCCTTGTCTAATTCCTCCCGGTGTTGGAATATTTTCAGTGAATTCGTCTCCTGCTCTAACTTTGGTTACGTTGTTATTTAGTTTATGGAGTATCTTTGTTATACTGGTCGGTGTTTCATTTTCTATTAATATATTTAGAATGTCTCCCAGGAGAACTCTGTCAAATGCCTTCGTCAAATCAATGGAGCAAATATACGCTGGCATGCCGAACTCTATAGATTTTTCTTTTATTTGTTTTATTATAAATACTGCGTCTGTTATAGACCGCCCTTTTGTAAAACCTTGTTGTTCTTTAGCATTAGTGATTTGCTTTTCCAATTTGTCCCTTGAGAATACCCGTGAAAAGTTTCATTGTTGTATTTAAGAGGGTTATTCCTCTATAGTTTTGTGGGCAGGTTTTTTGTCCTTTTTTAAATATGGGGATTGTGATACTATTATGCCATTCCTCTGGTGTTTCTGTTTTGTTTAATATTTTGTTAAATAGTTGTGCCGGTTTACTTGCAATTTCCGGGCCTCCATATTTTAAAAGTTCATTGGGTATACCATCCGTTCCCGGTGATTTTCTGTTTTTTAGCTTTTTGATCTTTGCTTCTACTTCTTCGTCATTGATTGTAGCACTCACATCTGTTTCTCACAACTCGTTAACTGGTTTTTTTCCTGTTGCGGAGCATTTTCCATACTTTCTTTTGGGCACCATATAGGTTCTGCACCATTCTGCATGAGCTTCTTCCGATTGCGTGCTTTTATATCTCAGGTAGCATTTGCGTTTTAATTCAGAGAGTTCTTTTACATCTTGGCAAAACCACGGTTTGGTGTGGTTTGTCGCTCTCGTGTTAATTTTCCGCTTTCCAATCGCTTCTTCTGCTGCTTCGTTGATGCATTTCTTAATTTTTTGCCAAGTATCTTCTACTCCCCATTCGGGTTTTAAGTCGATCTCTTTTAGTTTGCTGGTAATCCTGTTTCTCATAAAGCAGTTTTTGTACTCTCTGTTGCTAGCGACTCTATGTTATGTTTTTCGATGAACATTGGGGGTTTTCTGTTTCGTTGCGGACGTTCTAGTAGCATCTTGCATAAAACAAGGTTATGATCAGTCCCCAGGTTAGCAGATGTTAGTGCTCTGACATCAAGTACTTGTGACGGAGTTATAGCTCGATTTGTGATTATAAAATCTATCATTGATCGCTGGCCTCGATTATTGTTAAAAGTGTATTTATGTTGGTCTTTATGAAGAAAGTATGTATTGTTGATTCTCATTTCATTTCTAGCGCAAAAGTCTATTAGTGCTTCGCCGTTTTCATTAATTATTTCTTCGTTGTACTTTTGTTTTATACCTGGTATGACAACGTTTCCGATCCGTGCATTAAGATCCTCGAGTACGATAATTTTGTATTTCGTATTTATGTTATCTACGACGTTTTGTAGTGAGAAAGTAAGCGAGAAGAGAAAATTATATAAACAGTGGCAAAAAAATAGGTCGGGCACAGATCATCAAAACTATATTGTCGTCAAAAGGAAGCGAAAGAGCAGTAGCAAATCAGAAGCGTATACGATCATATTGATACCAGGGAAGGTGAAACGAAGATATATAGTAACGTCGGGATGTTAATCATCCAATACGAAGAATTGGCGATTTCCAAGTTCCTAGGAAGAGTAGGAGCGGAACACCAAAGAAGACTTGGGTCCTAGGGAGGAAGCGGTTAGACGACATGTCGGTAAAGAGGATTGATATTGGTACGACCCAAGATAGAAACTTATGGAGAAATGTAATCAGGGAAGCTGACCTCATATAGGGATAAAGGCAAAGATAATGATGGTGAACTTTTATCTACATGTATATGCGCCATTGATTTCACACATACCAGAAATCAGCCTCTTCTTCAAGTCCCATCTAAAAATTATCCGACGCGTTCGATGTTGGCGATCACTAAAGCACCTAGATCTTCTTCCACATGGAATAATTATCCTGCTTTTGGTATCGCAGTCTATTCACGAATGGTTTTTAGTCAAGAAACACCTCACCGGCCTTCTGCGTTACCGAATGTGTGAAAAAATCGTTAGTTTTGAACGTTTTTGATGAAGCAGACAAAAAAAGATGACTATCTGTGGAATTCCATCGATTTTTAATTGTGTTTTAACTATATAACATTATTATTTGGCTTTTCAACTAAAATAAGTCAATAAAATAATTTGTATTTAAATAATGACTTTACAATTATTAATCTCAGGTCAGGTAGGTTCGAATTACTTCTGTAATTTTGAATGCAAAATTTTTGGCAACTGTTGAGCACACACATATTTAGTTAAGCTACCATTATAGAGAAAATTTAACGCTCTTTAAAATAATCTACACTTATTTAAAAGTTTAAGGGTAACAGTTGCCTTTGCTAGGGAGTTCAACCTTGAGGACTAAAAATTGACATGTATTTCCGATTTTTGGAAGCATAGCTTTCTTATCGCAAGCTACGGACGGAATGCTTGATCGGTAAAATACATCGCGCAAAAGTGTGAAAAAATAAAAACAAAAGAAACCCAATGAAAGGACAGATCGCGCGACCATACACTACGTGGAGTAGTACACGCAGTCTCATGCGTATTTCTTAATAAAATTAAAATAAAACAATACTTTTTTGCAGCTTTTTTTTTTCTCGTCGCATAATAAACGTCAAAAATAAACGAACCGAATCGTATCCAATGAAATCAAACCGACTGAAATCGGATCGAATTAAATTGAATCGAATGAAAACGGATGAAATAGAATCGAATGAAATCGAATTAATTGGAATCATATCAAACCGAAAAAAAAATCGAATCGAATCTAATTGAATCGAATCAAATCTAATCGAATCGACTGAAATCGAATGGAATCACGTAAAATCTAATATAATGAAATCGAATAGAATTTAGTCGAATGAAATCGAGTCGTATGGAATAAAATCGAATAGAATCTAATAATAATAGTATTTCTTAATAAAATAAACTAAAATAAATTTAAATTATTATAATAATACTGTTCTTAAGATATTTTCTTGCATCTTAATGCAACAAACGTCAAAAATAAATAATCGAATGGAATCGGCTTGTAATTCAATGAAATCGGATCAAATCCGCATCGAATGGAAACGAATATAATCAAATCGGGTGGAATCGAAGGGAATGAAATCTAGTCGTACGGAATCCAATCAAATCGACTCAAATTGAATCGAATGGAATCGGATCGGATAGAATCGAATCAAATCAAATTGAATGGAATCGAATTCAATTAAAATTAAATTACATTAATTTAAATTAAATTAAAAACCATCGCTTCTTTTGTAGACGATAAGGAAGCTATGCTTCCCCTCTTCGGTCACACCCGGAGTATCACATCCTGTTTTTCATATTATTTATTCGCAGTGAAGATATTAATGGTGGAAAGTGATTGCCTGTTTATGTAGTTTACTAAACATAAACAATACGTTAGTTATTTATATATAAAAAACAGGTTTCAATTGTTTGTAATTGAATATTCTCGTTGTGTTCGTGCAATTTGTTGAATACATTAATTTGTCCCAATTGATAGAACGTGTATGAAAGCGTTCTATAATTGTTATAGTTGGATTTATGCTTTTAAAATAGGATCGATTTTATAACTCATTCGGGGTTATTCAAAAGTGTGGAATTTCTATATGGAGAAAAAATAGCAGCTACTCGTAGAAACCACTGAAAATCTAGATAGATGGGGGTTAAATACTATCAAGAAACTTTTAATATATATATATATATATATATATATATATATATAATATATATATATATATATATATAATTATATATATATATATATATATGCGAGTTTCCTACAACCTCTGCCGCTTCTCGCATTTCGACCGCCATCCATAGTTTTCATCCATTCATCTAAGGCCTTCCCCTTCTTCTTCTTTGTTGTGGTATGTAATTTAAAGCTTTCTTTGGCCATCTATCTTCATTCATTCGCTTCACGTGACCTTATCACACTAGTGGCCTCGTTTCAATTCTGTCTACACTGGAATATACAGTATTTGTCCTCCTTCTAATATCTTCATTCCAGATATGATCTTTTTTGAATACACCACACGCTCTCCTAAGAAAATCCATTTCTATTACTTCTATTCTTTTTCTATCTTTTTTCGTGATCTGCCAAAGTTCTGCCCCATAAGTCATAATAGGCTCTACCAAGGTTCGATAGATTGTCAATTTCGTTTCTTGTCTAATATCGAATGTTTTTTTCCGCTTTTTTTTCCTGTTGCGTTCTGTTTTCGATTTGGTGTGCCTTCTTTAGATATTATAGATTCGAGATATTTATATTCATTACATCTTTTTGTGTTTCTAATTTCTAACTCTGGATCTTCTTTATCATCTCCTATTTTAAGATACTCTGTCTTTTTAGAATGAAGACGAAAATAGTACCCAACGCCAGAATGATGGTCCACCGACTAGACAAGACGTTAAATATATCGCAGGAGCCTACGAATAATAGAACTAAAAAAAAAACGGCGAAGAGTATAATATTTAATAAATGCGGCGAGAAATATTATTTGTAATTGTACGCGAGGAAAACTATAATAAAGCGTCAGCGAAAAGAATTACCCTTTGACAAACGTCAATGAAATTAATCATTTTTGTTTGTTAACGAAAATTGTTATTACTAAAGGACTTCCAGTGAAAAGAATTATTTTTCAATGAGTAACAGCGAATCATTTCTGAGGTCCTCGAACACTGCAATTACTGCAAAAAATTACTCTGAATAAAGTGACGACGAAAAAAGATATTTCTATTTATGTAACCACAAAACCTATAATTTACCAGACTAAGCGGGGAAAATAATAACACTACAAATGGGCGAAGCGCGACGACAAACAAAACCATTTCTGTTTGTGTCCACGAAAACTATTATTGCAATTAAAGTTTCGGCGAAAAGAATTTCTCTTCGATGAGTGACGGTGAAAACAACTACTTCTTAATCTATGACTGCTAAAACTGCAACACCTAAAGATATGCGAAGAAAAAATTAGCTCCAATGCGTGAATGCAAAGCAGTTTATTATGTTTGTGCATCCTCAAAGACTGCATTTTCTAAAAATTAGCGGCGAAAATAACTACAAAATGCATGACAGCGAAATAAAACTACTGGACCTCTCCCTCAAAGGAGAGCGCTATAGGTTGATGATTATCAACTAATTTTGTCCTGAATTGGATTAGGACATGACTGCGTTACGTGCCACATTATGACATTCTGCACGAGCGATTTGAGGCCATAATCATCTCAAGTTTAATTCTTTCTAGTGGAGATTTCTTACGTCGCAAGTCCCCATGCCATCAGTCAAATTGAGCCTGATTTATGTCATGAAAGTTATAGAAATTTTGACATTTCGGATGCGCGCCACACAGCGAAGCTGCGGCAGATATTTGAACGATTGTATATTCTATATACAATGCTGTCGCGAGGACTTTCAAACCAATAAAAAATTTCGAAGATATCCCACATACACTTTGTTTTATTTAAATTTTAATATAGGAAACGCTTAATATTGTTCTGAAGCTATTTTCTTGTGGCATTGTAAATTAATTACTATTAAACTGGGAATAAGCCATAATTAAAGATAAAAATACGTTTATTGACGTTTCAATTTCCACTTCGGAAATCGTTCTCAAAATACAAACAGTAAATTCAATTTAAAATATAAACAGGAAACGCTTGGTTAACGACCCTATATAAGAAACAATGTTAATGTCAACTATTTAAAATATTATATCTACTTACCACTAACGCCGAGATCAGCGTAAGAACAAAAGCAACTAAAACTAAAATCGTGGCTATATATCTATTGGAAGCGAACATTTTCTTAACCTGCTTAAATGGTCCCATGAGGAAGCATGTGCTGAGAAGGGACGTGACATTTCCTAAGGTGTAAAATACTGCAAAAACTGGCAAACCTCTATTTAAAAATAAAGCAAACGAACCCAAAAACGACAGTAATATGCCTATTATGAAACATGCCAAAAAGCCTTTTAGTCTTGTGGACCAACTTAAGGTGGTAGCATCATCTAACTGTAAAAAATAGGTGTGAAAAATAAAAGTAACGTAAAATAAATAAAAATTTTTTTTTCTAAATAAGTAACTTGCACCATAAGAATTTGATTTTGTTTTTCCCCCATGTCATAAATACTACCGTACAATGCATGCTAGTAAAATGAATATCATCAAAAACAAATTAAAACTTACCTATACTATCAAATATCGCAGCAAAAAGCAGTGTTTGTAAAACGAAATGTTAAACGGGAGAATTTTTTGTCATAATTGTTGTTAAGTCAGATTGTAAATAAAAAAATCCATAAATATACATCGAGTCTTGAATTATACCAGTTTAATTAGTAACAGGTCAAATGAACTTTTCAAATCTTTCTAGTAGTAGTTAAAATATGGCTGTTTTAACATGCAAATGCATGCAAATGTTTGAAGAGGTTTACTCTCCGGACGCTGGAACTCACGTAAGGCATGGGTGTATGTTACCAGAAGTAAAATATAATTATATATTAAACATCCAATATTATTAACAACAATATGTACAATCTTTGTTAACCTTACTTATTTTTAAGGGTTTTTACCCTAATATTTTGGTGGCTCAGGCTTGTTAACCTGCATTTTTAACCTGATGATGGAATTATTATTCCGAAAAGGTTCGTGTTAATTTGATGTAGCCCTTTTAAGGTTTTTTTTAATATACCCATTTACAAAGATTTAACCTCTTTTTTGTGATACGTGGTATACAGCCAGCTGCAGGAATTAATTTCCTTGTGGACTATGATAATATGTTTCATTGACTTCCAGAAGGAATTCAGTTGTGTAAGCTGGATACATCTTTGGTCCATTTTAATAGAGATAGGTACACCATCATGGGTACCAGTAAACTACTGCAACAGTACGACTATATCAGAAGTTCTCAACCCAATTCAAAGCAGAGAAAGCTGTTATCCAAGGATGCATTTCATCATCTGACTTATTGAATATTTATGGTGAACATGTCAATAGAATGGCTTTAGAAGAATTGGTCGGTGGATTAATAGTGGTTGGTAGAAAATCTCCAATTTAAGATTTGCAGATAACACACTTATATCAGCAAATGAACAAAAAATGCTAGATCTCCTGCGCAGGGTTGATTGGGAAAGAAATAAAGTTAGTCTTAAAATTAATAAGTAAGGCAAAAATAATTGTGGTACAGAGATTCAACACTAATCAGCTGACTAACACTTGCAGGAATACCATACAGTAAAGTACTTTAACTATCTCGGATCGCAACTGCGGGGCAAAAGATCTATCTATCAAAAGATTACAATGAGACTGGTGAATGTACTTGTACTCTCCATATTTCTATACGAGACAGAAACTTGGACTCTCCACGCACAAAAATGTCACAATTATTGATGTTTATGAGATGTGGTGTTGGAGAAGAATGCTGTGCATACCTTGGACAGCTTATTGGACAAACGTTTCCATTCTTAACTACCCATATTAAACAAGGCTGTCCACAACACATCTGCAGCAAATTTCTACAGTCTGCAACAGTTCTTTGGTCACATGGATCTCAGATGTGATAATTTAGAAATATTAATTGTTTCTAAAAAAGCTCCTGGAGAAGACCTTCAGAGGGTCACATAAATTGATTCATCTGTACTCTACATTTCTAAAACATTCTCTTTTCGACAACATAGAGCTCCTGCTGTAATCAAAACTCCAATAAATGCATCTAGTTCTATAATATCCAATGTCTTTCCATATGTTCTATTTCTCTGGATTTTTTTCACTGTAAATTTGGTATATGATTGCTTCTTGGTTGGTGTGTTCACAGGTACTTGCCTTCATGTTGAGTCAAGAAAATGCTTAGATGGAAGAGGGGTGTCACAGCTCCACACACATCCAGATTTTGCAGTATACATTTTATTGCCTCTTCTAACTTCCTCCTCCATAAATTCTTCTTCAGTCTCTTCTCCAACCTCATTATTTACTATCGTATCTTCAGCCAGCTTGTCGTTGTTCTCATCAATAATAGGGTCTTCAATTACTGATGAACTCTTCTAGCACAAAATCGGGATCTCGATCGTCATCATGAGTTTGATTTTGCTTATCGCTTTGATCATCACTGTCAAAGTCACTCAAACTATTTATTATTTCCTTAAACTCAGCTTGTGTTAAGAGTTTTCAGTAACATTTGGACATTTTTGCACTGTAACATGTTTTTGTAACACACCTAGTAACAGTGTAACTCTGTAGTAACACTAAATAAAGAGTACAAAACAACAAACACATCAACTGTCAACTAACTCTGATTACCTCAGACTGAGTACCACGTCGAGCTGCCGGCAGTGCCAATTAATAATAGAGCCATTAAAGAAAAATATCAATGTCACTGAAAAACTCATCACATATGTATAGATTGTTCGATAAGTTTAACAAAGTACTTAATTAGCGCCGAAAATTAAAAAACAATACATATCCAAATATGTAACGTAAAATACTATGTGGAGTCCCCAGAGACTTAGAAGTTGTGTAAAAACCTTAAAAACTCAGCTATACGAGATTTCACAGGAAAATGGACATTATTCAACTGGTGATTGAAAAATATGGTAGGGTCCCAAAAGGATCCCACATCCTTGTTTATTGGTTAAGGGCAATGACGAATGAAATGATAATGCTATCTGATTCGAAAAGATCCTTGTCCTCCAGGGACTTAGAGGTTGTGTAAAAATCTTAAGAACTCAGCCATACGAGATTTCAGTGAAAAAAAATGGCCATTATTCAACTGGAGGTTGAAAAATATGGTCTTTATTTAAGGGTTAATGAAAATGAAGAATCAAGTGATGATGATGATGATGCTATCTAATCCAAAAATAATGTCATATTATTTTATGTATGTAATAAAAATATATGTGCTTAATGATATTTTCCCACAACACTACCACTATGGATCAAATTAAAAATCTTTTATTTTTATTAATAAGACACAATCCTTAATAAAAACCAAAAATGAATTTCTTTATGGTGCAAGTCACTTATGAATGCAAATTTTAAATAATCCTCAGAGTAGAAATTAAAATTTGTGTGACAATTGTTGATAAGTTAGACTGTAAATAAAAGCAGTAAATTTACATTGGAAGTCTTGAATGTATCAGTTTAATTAGTCAGTAGTCAAGTGACCCTGTCAAATCCTTCTAGTAGTAGGTATCTAAAGAACAGCTGTTTTAGTGTGAAGTAATTGTAGAACAAAACAATTTTTACAAACATTACATTCAAATTTAATTTTTACTCAGAGTATCAACTAAATATTTCTCATTATAGCATATATAAAAAACTATGGATGTGAGGATTTTTTTCTATTGAATATGTTTTCATTGTCCATTTTTTTTTAAATCAAATCAAATAAACTATCTTTGGAATGCATTTAAAAGTAACACAAATCTTAATATATTCCAAAAATCTTCTTTTTTATGCTACTTTAAAGAAAATCAAGAGAAAACCACAGTTTATGGGAAACATTAGATAAAATACTTGGTTAAATGTAAGATGAACAAAATGATAAACAAAATTATGATTTGACTTTGACCATGCCACTTATAATACATTAGTTTTTGTTGTGATGATACCGCAATATTTTCTTTATCCACTACTAGGTCTAGCCTACTTGATATGCATTCCTGGGTTCTTCTTCATTCATCTGTGGCAATGTAAAGATTATAGCGCTATTGTACATCATTACAAAAAACCATAGTTCAAATTTTCTTTTAAATTGATTATGAAGTTGGCACACCTGTTCATTGATATTTTTCAGACTACTTAGTTGAAGTCAAAACATCAAAAATATATAATTTTGTGATGTATTCATAGAAAAAAAAAAGTCAATTAAAAACATGCCACAATAAACTATATATATTTTATCTCCATTCTTTGATTTCTATAAATAATTAATTATAAAAAACTAAATATTTATTACAGTTGAGACACAAATCCTTATCTTTTAACAATTTATATTTGTGTTAAAATTTTAAATGAAAACAATGATTGTTATCACACTTTTTTAATTAGTTCAATTCACTATTTTAATTTTGGGAACTGATAAAAAATTGAAAGATAAGTTCAAAATATTTAGACTTTTTATGGAGTCACAACAATTAGGTGGTGGTTTATTAATAAATAACTTTTTTGATTACACTACAAACAGTTAAATAAATACAGGTCTTTTCAGCATCATAGGATCTTAAGACGCATTTAAATCAAAGTGAACACAAATGAATGAACAAATTCATTCATTAAAATTATTGTATTTAAACAGTCAATCAAACATGATGGAACAAAGTAGTTCAAATTCAGACATGTTCCAACCAATGTCAGCAAATCAGCTAATCTTGTGTAGTGCTGAGAACTTGGATGGGCACATAATTTTGCAATGTGGAATGGATGAATGAAAAGATGCATCAATTAATTGAATTATATAAAAACGAAAAATGTCTATGGAATCCAAAGTCTAAATTATATAAAATAATAACCAAAAAAACTGATGCTTGGAATAAAATTTCTACTGTATGAATTGTGATTTCTGATTAAAAAAAGTTACTTCGATTTTGGCATCATTTAGATGAGAAAGACAAAAAGAACTTCAAACTATATTCAAAAAAGTCAGGTAGTGGGACTGACACAATTTATAATTCTATGTGGTTTGCTTTTAAATTGCATTTCAAAATCAACCATAGACATACTACAGAAATTTGTAACTTGACCTAAATTGTCATCAGTTGTGAAATCAGTTAACAAGTCATTATTTCCTCTTTTTTTTTGTAACAAATTTGAACACCACACGAAAGTCCTGCAATAACTATAAAACTAGCAGCGCTAATGATTACATCTTCATCTGTATCTAACATTGCAGATAGATCATTAATGAATATGAACATTCACTATACCTAATGTATAGTGTATATATGTAAATAATCCTACTTTATAGAGAAGAAGTGACCAAGCGAATACCTACAAATTCCTTCCTTGATACGTTAATATGTGTTCGCTTTGATTTAAATGCACCTTTATATAATAACTCTTTCCTAATTCTAATTAAAGGAAGAATTATTTAAGTTCACTAAAATCTTTTTTGGATAATGCCAACCAGTAATCACTTGCAAAAACAAAAAAAAAACAATCTTCCCAGTTTATTTTTTAGTACAGTATCTGACAGACAAGCTCTAAAGCAAAGCGGTTACAGTTACTATAGTTTATGCAGTTTTCAATAAATCATCTTTAATGTTGACATAATAATTTAAAAGATCCTCACATTAGTTATAGTGCTTTTTACTACTTCAAAACACTTTTAAGATTCCTAAATACTTCAAAATTTGCTATTTCACCTTTTTAATTATAGTTCTAAAAATGTTTACTGTTTTTCGTGGTATATTTGTAATGGTTTTAACGTAGTGTTGAAATTAGCAGCCTGATACTTATAACTATAGGATAATAACTCCAGGCATGAAAAAACTGAAAAATATCAAGAAAAAACAGTTTCAAAAGAAGTATTAAGATATGTATGAAAGATATGCATATAAAAAAATTCATTTACTTCAAAAAGATTTGAAAATGGTATTTTTTCCCAAAAATGTTATTGATAGAGTAAGTTATGGTTAGTAAGTTAGTATCAAAGTACCAGATAGGAAGAGATTTTGACATAAAGATAAAAGAATAAATATATAACTTTGTCTAAAAACAGTTTCGAGGTGTTGACGATATTATCAAGTTCACTGACTTGATAATATTAAACAACAAATAATATCATCAATTAACTACTTGTTTCTACTATTAAAAATCTGGTATTTCTAAATTACATATATGTAGGAATTCTATTAATACTAAATTGAAAATAAACGAATTTTAAATATTTGGCTTAAGATAGAGCAAGAAGCAAATATAACATGCTATCTCGCTGGAGTAATAAGATAAAGATACTTAGCTTTGTCTCAGTCATTTGAAATCTTAAAAGTGTTTCATTTTATAATAGAGAAAAAAACAAGTAGATACTAAAATTATGATCTATATCTTCTAAAAAAATTGCATAAAATGTAAAAGGTATATTTACTTGTGACATTATTCCACTCTCCTCATCTGGAGATTCATTTCCAGTTAAAACTCTTCGAAGTTTATCCATTTTGTTTTCTTTGAAATAGTTTGTCTATAAATAAGTTTGTGTGATGTCGATTTTAGGGACCTGTGGACAAGTTTCACTTCGATATTTAGGTAATTGACTTTGTATCAGTCTGAATTTTTTAAAATTTGATCGTATTTTACAAAAATAACATACTTTCGGCTGATTTAACAACTGACTCACGTACAAAAACTTTTAAATGTCAAAATTCAACAGGTCAACACTGCTACCAACGTAAGAAATACGTGTTTCAAAAGTTATAGGAAATACAAGTTGCCTATACAGTGGGAAAATATATTGATCATTGAGTTTATGATGTTTTTCATAATTCAAAAAAACTGCATGATTATTTCTTTGTTGAAAGAATAATTATTTTATAAATAAACATGGACGTACGCTGGACCAAAACTAGGGGGGTATTGGTATTGGTTATAATACATATAGATGTAAATTGAGAGTCTTCACTGAGAGGGGAAAGGGGTTTCCTTCAGAAAAGTTTTGAAAATAACGTTTTTGGAGCCAAAATTATAACTCAACGCCTTCATACAAAAATGAAGCAAACTAAATATAATTTAAATATTTAAAAACTTTTTGAATGCTTTTTACAAAAACGGGATGCAAATTTAACAAGTTTATTTCCTCCTGGATAAGCCTTCGATTTGTGAAGCAATATAAATTGTCTGTTCCTAAACACTATTATTTAAACAACAATTTACGCGGATCAATTGTAAATTCTTGTAAAACTTTCTCTATAAACTCTTCCTTTTTTGGTAATATTTGTTTCCGATGAATGCTCATTAGAGCTAACCCATTAAGGCGGTCTTCGACCATTGTACTCCGCAACCATGTTTTTATTCTTCGAAGACTGCTGAACGATCTCTCAACTGTACACGTAGTGCAAGGAAATGTTACGAGAATTTCCAGCAATTTTTTTGTTAACGGATAAAAAGTAGTGGACGCTCGAACCAGTTCAAAGATTTCAAGGGTGTTGAAGTTATCTAACTCATTATTAAGGAGTTTTTTATTCCAGTGTTCTACCCATACTTCTAGCTCTGCATCTATTCCATCTATTTCATAGTGGTTTAAGGATTGTCTCAGTTCTAATTTAAGGCAATTTAAATCAATTTTTGAAAAATGCTTGGCATGCAGAAGACTCAGAGCGAAGGCTGGCGTATTTTCTTCGGAAAATCGTGTCTCTAGAGAAGATATGATAGAATCCAGATACGGAAGAATCATGGATCGCCTCCAGTATTCAGTAGGCGTATCAGCTGGTTGATTGCTTCTATGCTGTTGCTTGCTTACAGTTCTAGTTCAAAACCGCATTCTTCGGCTATCTTATTGGCTTCATGCAATAAAGTATTCGTCACGTTCTCTGCGTTCTGTCTGTGTTTTTTAAAAATATCCATTATTTGACGAATATGTTCCGCTACCTTTAAAACATTAGTTTGCGCAGATTGTAGGCGGTTGACTATAGGCTCTAGGTATTCAGAATATTTTACAATCAAAATGACAGCGACAATAAATCCTGACTTGCATTCCGCAGAATGCAACTGATAAGATGTTTTTCTAGTGGCCAAATTTCCTTCAACGGATAGAGTTTGCAAGGCCTGTACAATTTCAATGAAATTTTTTCGAAAAACCCTAATTACCTTGTATTTCTCGGACCACCGTGTTTCGCAGAGGCTAGGGATATTTGCTATCATATTCCTTCTTAATACTGATTCACGGAAGAAATTGGTTATGTCTTTAATAGTGGCAATAGTATTTCGCACTTCATTTAAACGGTTCAAATCGTTCACAAGTAAATTTAATCTGTGTGACGCACAGTGGAAAAAAAGATTTGCTGTATTTTTTGCTTAAAATTGCTTGAACTCCGCCTTCCTTTCCCGACATAGTGGAGCAACCATCAAATCCCAGACCGACACATTTGAGTGGATCAACTTCATGATTTGTCAGGAAATCATCAATTGCCTTTGCAATGCTTGGTGCATTCAGAGCATCGAGCTGAACAAACCCTGTAAATTCTTCACGAATTTCTTCTTCATCAAAATATCTCAAACCAATTGACATCTGTTCTTTGCCTGAAATGTCAGTGGTTTTGTCAGCTAATATTGCGTAGTAGTTAGCTTTTTTGACTTTTTCAAAAATTTCTCTTCTAATTACTTGGCCGCAGATGTCAATTATTTCATTTTGTATCCTCACTGACTTGTATGACGCATTCTTAGCGCCATGTTCAAAATGCTCCTGCAAAATTTTGTCTCCGGCATCAATTCGAAAATTACACAAGTCTTGGAAAACACCCTCACTCGATTCTTTCCCACGGAGAGGCAAACCAAACCGTTTCTAACAGTGGCGGACGGAAACAGGTAGATTTAAAATAGATTTTTATAAGTAAATTATATTCAATTAAAGTGAAGAATGAATTTGTCAATTTCTATTTTCATAGTTTTTATTAATTTATGAGGTTTATAGTCAGTTATATAAATAAGAATTATGTAGAATTGTATAGAATTTGTTAAGTTTATGTGTTTTTTTCGTCCCAGGTAGAATGTGCAAACAGAGTGGTTGCATTGAAAATCAAGATTAAGTTACAACTTTGTATTTTTCTATATTGCTTATTCACCAATTTTACACTCGCCTCGTCCTCTCTGGGGGGGGGGGTGCAGCTGCCCCCCTTCCCTTCCCTGTGGACGCCCATGTAAATAAATATTTAAGATATTAAGTAGTATATTTCTATCCTACATAACACAATCAGAATCGATAAAGGTATATCTTATAATATCCTCACGTTTCTCTACGACTTAGTCAGCAACTAATTAAAGTAAAGTGAAAAGGCAGCAAATATTTGATTTCACGCAAAAAGCGCCTTTGTATCTGTTGATACGTATTTCGACCTAATAGGTCTCATCAGAATAGTTATTCAAAGGTTCTCAACGTGAAAGATCAATATTTTCTGTCATTTAAGAAGCAACACTAAAATGGCTTCAATACGGACGCAATAGCGACATCTGACAATAAAACCGTAGAGGCCAGCCTGTTCTTCGGCCTCCATATCACTGTATTCTCCCTCTATTCTCTTTTTTATTACTTTTCTGTAAACTCTTGAGACGGTGCCTAACACTGATATTCCTTGGTAGTTGTCATATTATATCTCTTTAGCTCCTTTTTTATGTATGTTCATATCTGTCTTTTATCTATTCTGTGAGGTTGTACATTGACGTTTTTTAATCATACGATGGGGTTTTTCCAAGTATAACTAAAGCTTTCATACGTGCGATTAAATTTCAAAACTCGTTTAATCGTTAAGAATTTCACTTTAACAAAAAGTTGCGAACTAATTTGTCTATAACGAATTTAAATAAAATTCAGCTATAAACTTTGAAAATCTGGCTAATTGAAGTGAAAGAACAACTCAAAATAAACATTTTAATCTTTGGTAAATGTTTCTATGTTAATTTTTGACCAAGATTTGGAACTTTTAATGACGCGCTCTGAGGCGCACGATCAGTTGCAGCGAATGTGGGAGCGCGTAAACCGCGCGCCTAAATCAATTTTCAATATCTCGTCAAAAAATTAACATAGAAACATTTACGATTTCCATTAAGCAAACTGCCAAAGTTTACGACTCAACTTTGTTTCAAACTCTTATAAACAAATTAATTCATCACTTTTACCGAAAATTTTAACTATTAACTACTAAAACTTTTTTATTTATAATGATAAAGTAATATGCATCTCTGAATTTACATGAATTTTATTTATGTATTGGTTTTTATTTGCTGCAGAGAAGTTTCATAGCTTCGTTCAAAAGTAACAGAAACATTTACCAAAGTAGTACAATGAATGAAGGTAAAAATCAACTATTACCTCTGATTTCGGTTTACCCTCAACTTCAAAATTGACATATGCTCAACTTGTCCTTTTTTGCATTTTAGGTGTGAAATCCACACCTTCTGTTAAAAATGGTAAAAAATGCAGATTTAAGCATTCTGGCATAAGTAATCTCGCTTAATTAAATAAAATAAATATTTTGCAAAATTTATAAGCATGATTGATGATTTTAATTAATTTTTCAACCCTTTTAGCAACTATCCCTTAAATCGAAAATCATGAAAAAATCATTTTTTATATTTCTGAAATATTAAATCATATATTAATATCACCCAAATAGTTTCTTTAATGTTTATGATATAATTTTTGATTGCCTGTGAAATTTCAACCCTTAAACCCAAAAACCATCCCCTTAAAACAGAATCACTGAAAAAATTAATTTCAAAAAACTTTAATTATTTGAATAATACATTACTAAATTGACATCTCATTTACTGAGTATTAAGGCATTTTATTTGTCTCTCATTTATTTATTGCGTAATTTTGCACCCCTAAAAACTACCCCTTTTCTAAAAATAATGGAAAATGTTTTTTTTTTATTAGCTTTAATAGCTTCAATCATTTAGAAACTTTTTTATTGGTTATGATAAACTTAATTAATATATTGATAAACTTTATTAATATTATACTTTCCACGTTTCCTGAAAAATTTGTTAGTTAAATGGAAAACGTGTTAAAATAAATATTAAAATATATTAAAAGTTCATTCATTTTTTATTTAACTAATGTTTCATAAATTTATCAAATACTAATAGTACTTTAATTGTTAATTTTTCACACTTTATCAGAGCTATCTTCACCAATTTCTCCTTTTTCAATAATTGGAGGCTATTTTGGCAATTGTCCCCACTGCATGATCCGCAGACTGCATTGCAAAATAACGCTACTCACCGACACCCGCAAAAAGCACCGCATCCTTTTTTGCAGTTGCAAAAAATTATTTTTAACAATTGTTCTGGAGCAGGTGGATTGGGATTTTTAGTTGGAAACAAAGACTCTTCAATTTTGCAACATCCCTAGTCAACTGGACGAATGTCTTTGTTTTCAAGCCATATCTGTGTTTGTAAATAAACTCTTTTGATGTGTTTATCCCATGAAGCAACCGTTGGGACCAGAGATGAAAACTTTATAAATTACTGTATGGAGTTTTTAATTATATATTATCAGAGCACTAATATCAAAGTTAAAATGTTTAAGTTAATTGATTCTTCTTCTTCTTCAAGTGCCCTGTCCGTTGCGAACGTTGGCTATTAACATGGCAATTTTGATCTTGTTTGCGGCGCTTCTGAATAGTTCGA